AAAGCATCCTTATGAATACATGTGTGCCTTTTAAATGACAAGTACTAGGAGAGAGGGTGGAGAGAACAGTTAACGTGGGTGGACACCAGCATCAAGTGAGCTTTTCATTCCTGGAGAGGGATTAGACGCCTCTCACTGGAGACGAAAGCTGGATGCAGTCCAACCTTCCCTCCTTGTTGTTTGTTTCTCTTTCACCTCCCGTTCTTCTCCTCTCTCATCCCTCCGTCTTTGATCTGCCGCTGTCCTTTCTGTCTCCTTCATCTTTCGTTATATTTCTCAGCTCTTCTGTGCCTCTTTTGTTCCCGAGTGTCCCTCGCAATGACAGTTTCATTCATTCATTCATACACTCATTCATTCAGTTTTTCCCAAAGAAAGCAGGAAGGTGCAGTTGCCTAATTTGCATTGTTTCCAAGAAGTTTTACTATTCTGGGATTTGGTTCTTTCTAGGAACTACCATGTAAACTTTTGGAAATGTGATAAATAAGACTTAAAGCCGACTTGAAGGATGATATGCAAACCTCACTGTCCAGCACCGAAATCCACAGCTTTATAAGTCTCCGTTCCAGCCTGGTGCTCATGACTGTTCTGCTGTGGTTCATGAAAATCACAGCAGCTTCTGCATCGGAACAAAAAGACTTTTCACTGAAAGCATAACTAAATTGAGCTGGATATGCATTAGAACTGAATAGGTAGAACAGATAAACATATTGTTAGCTGATTATCAGACAGTTAATTGGCACAAATATTTTAAAAATTGCTTCATATAGTCCAAGAGTTTCAAAAAATTCTGTTAATTACAGTCCCTCTGTGGTCATTGATTAAACCCTAACAACTCATCTCTGTGTATCAGAGTTATGTATTTACTATTTATTTTCCATTAACATGAACCTGAAAGAAACTGAAAACTTTAAGGATTGTGGGTTTTTGTTGTTGTTGTTTTTTACAGAAAGCGAAGAATTTGAAACTTCGCAAAACTGTGACTTTTACTGACACTGTATAGACCAAATGATTAATGACTAATCAGCTGTTGCAGCTCCAATGTATTCAAGGGGAGACATGACTCATTTCTACGGAGTTTACTGGAAGTGAACACTTGTTCCACTGTTTATGATTAAGATTAAGAATATATAGTGAAAAGCAGTAATTTACTATCGATCTGTCTTTTTGCTTTAAGTCTTGTATTTTAGAGTTGACACTTTTCTCAAACCGTGCTTCAGCATTTTCACTGAAGTCAGCACAAAAGTGAAGCCCCACTTCTCATCTTGTCACATATTTCCTCAGTATTTAGGTCTCAAACCTTGTCCCTGAGATCTTTTGTTTACATTAATGCCAGTGCTACAGTTTTCATCCTCTGGGTATAAAGGGAAACACACCTTCACTGAAGGGTAAGGGGCTTCTTTGAAACACTTTCACTGGACAAAGAGAAAACATAATAAGTGGGCTTGGCTTGTTCTACTTATTGCCTTCAAAAGGCTGGATCATCTTACACGTTACCCCAAAACACACAATGCTGACAGACAACAGCCATTCTGAGGCGGAGGAACCAACATAACATACACATTGACAACCTGACCTATATAGTAGACTTTTGTTTCCCAAACTTGGTGGGAAAATCCAAGTGGGAAGTGTGTTACAAAGCTCAGCTGTGTGATTACAGTAGGAGCTATTATCAAAGTGCCATTAAGCAGGGCCCTTCAGCCACATCTGTTCCAGCTCTGCAGAAGCCAGTACAAGTGTGTGGTTACACCCTACTGATCAGGAGCGACAGAAACAAGCATGAGGAGGACTCTCAGTCAAATCATCCTGTCTTAATAAATATTTAAATAAAGGCAATTAGGCAGAACTCCTTTAAAAGATGAGCTCCTTCCTAAACAGCCATAAAAACTGGGTGGAAGATCAGCCTGAAGCTGCCTCCCGTTAGTACAAACACAACTCTTTGAATAAGAGGCAGCGATCACAAGTCTGTTTAGTGATAAATTAAAACAATCCTTGTCAACAATTTTTCTATAGGGTATTCTTTCTTCATAAAAAAAAAAAGCACTGCATTGCAGAAGAAGGAAAACTCCTGTGTCTTTTTGCATCTTATTTTTGGAAACCCAATGCCGCTGAGAAGCCTTGCTGTCTCTGTCATCATTATGGGATGAGTCACAGGCAGCACTGCTCCAGGTGTAGACATGAAAGAGAACCTACTGTATTTGATAGGAGGAAGACATTATTTGGCTTGTTTGTGGTGTTTCTGTGATCACCCCTTTTAAACAATCTGAATATGATTGAAATGTTAAAAAATGGGTTTAATTGGCTTCATCCCCAAGTTTTCCACGTTGGCTTGGCAGCAAGAGCCCAAGTGAGGAACATTTTATCACCTGATGTGTGAAGCGTCAGTCTGCAAGGATCCACTGCTGTAGATTTTCTTCTACCTCCCACTACGAGGAGCCAATACAAGTACAGACTACTCTACTGGTGCATCACACTTGGTCAGATTACAAAGATGAAAAAATACAAATGTGACCTGCGAAGGACTTGAATACAAAACACAGACCAAACGTTCCCAGAACGTTCTTGTACACCTCTTACTCCATGCTCCTTCCAGATGGATGCAATGTCACTGATTGGTCAACATTTACACACTGTGCTTTCTGATTGGTCAAGCTCTAAATGTTGCTGATACATCACTGTAGACGTTGCTAAGAAAACACCTAATTATCTGAGCTACTCATCTGTAACAGGAGAGTTCCCAGCTGCATTTTTGTACCATAGTGTGCCTGTGTCTGCTCTCTCCCTGGCTAACCTTGAAAGTTAACAGATTTCCTTCCTGAGGCTGCCAGGAAACTGTAGGTCAAGATGACCCCCTTCTCTTCTCTACTCTAATATGATTAAGTGTACCATTTCTGTCTAACTATATGGGATATTCTTTACTGAATACATATCTGAGTATTACTAGCTTGGACACAGTTTTCTTGAACCGCACAGAAATTACTCCACAATCCTTACTGTTATCAGGACTTTACTGAAATACAACACACACAGTGAGAGGTGAGGGGAAACGCTGGTTCGAAAAGTGTTTTTCTTTCTGAAATTAAGATTATTAAAGGTATCACATATCATTTTTCACCTTTCTTGTGACAAGGAGATGTTTTGCTGATATGTAAAAATACACAAAGTATGACCCAATTCGTTGCTACAGTGAAGAGATCATGCCACAGCCCAAAGCCTTTACAGATATTTGCGACTTTTTAAACATTATAATCAGAAAAACTGATCCAAAATTTTAAATGTGTGTTATTTTTCCTTCAACATTCATCCAGCATGAGCTACAAATCTAAATTTATAATGTTAATATAATTCTTAATGGTTAATGCAACAGAATTTGAACCCTAGGTTGTTTTCCACCATTAGCTTCATGAGAACCTGAAGCACACACATACAGGGCTCCAGCAAGCGGCTTTACATTTTCATTGGCCCTACTGGATTCCCCTGATATTTAGCAGACCTGTCTGTGTGTGTGTGTGTCTCTCTGTGACCCAGGTAGAACGTTTCACTTGGTTTCACATTACGTAAATCTGACATCATCATCTTATTTCATTTTCTGCACTGCAGTACCTGAGCGGGGACCACAGTCTTCTCATGTACAGCCTCCTACTAGCATCTACTAAAGCATGTGAGGTGTTCAGGGAACATTTGTAAATTGTAACTTCAGAAAACAACCCTCCACCTCTAAACTGCATGAGGTGCTGCAGGCACATCAGCCACCCACCAGCACAAGTAAATCTTCACCCTGTGAGAAATACTGAGATATGACGAAATAGCTAACAGTATGCGTGCACTTACTGAGATGAGCGCGGCCAAAACATGGCTGGGAACGGTGCTTTTACCGTCAGAGCATCAGCTAAATTGAAATGCTAAAAGAAGCACAGTGTCTCCAAGAAACTTGTATTGTGCAGTGAAATGTGTGTAGCCGACAGAGCAGCCCACCTCCTCGCAGTGTTTCAGCTCCAGGCAGCAGTGAGGAGTCAGGAATGATGATTACATTTGCCACTACTTATGATATAAAGTAAAGAAGATCTACCTGCTAAGTTTAAGTCGTAGATCATCGTATCTCTCAGTTTAAACGTGGAAAACATTTATCTGCACCTTTGTCCATTCATTTATTTGATTATTATTTAAGTGAACTTACCAATGTGTCTGAAAACTGACAAAAAAAAAGCACATTGAAAGTTTTGGGTGCACCTAAATAAAAAGTGAAGCACATCAACGCAGCCAGTGTAAAAAGTTGGTGTTAAGCACTGACTCATTACAACTCCTTGTACTTCCACAATCCAGGCTGGCTGGAACATTATTTTCTGGAAGTTCTTCTGTCTAACCAGGATCCAACAGGAACCGAACATGATGTCAATCCTTAAATAAATAAAATAGGAGTTCCTCATACTGCCAGTCAAAACCCGGTGGGAAGAGTTGGGGATGAAGGGGACACTGTGGTGTCACAGTGTGCTTCTGGATTTCATGACACTGTCTTGTCAAAAATGTCAACATTCTGCTTCAGCTTGACACAAATTACTCCTCACGATAAATATATTCTGCAGTTTGCTGCTGTTACCAGAGTAAAGTTTCCATACCAAGCTTGTTCTACAGAGCATGAAGGATAAAGCTTTGTGAACACCTTTGACAACATAAAAAAAAAAGTTTAACTTGAAAAATATAAATAACTTCTTAGTTAAATGACTTTCTGGGGCCCAAACCTAATATACGGTTGTGATGAACAATCAATCTTGACATGTTATTTGGTACATCTGTTGTGTATTGTGCTGTGTGAACGGGTAAAGCACGGCAACAACACTGACTTTAGAGGCAGATCTGTTTGAAACCGGTGCCTGCAACGCTACAAATTCACACAATTCAGTCACATAATGTGCTACATAAAGGAATCCACCATGCATGTTATTTCTATTACAGAAAAACAGCAAAGCTCTCCTCATGTGTTTGTTTTCTTTGTGCTGCTGCAGATCTTATTGTCAAACTGGCAAAGGACAAGTTCGGGGCCATTCAGACGGAATATCAAAAGGTAACGGTGTGAGCGTGATTGTGGTGTAATGACTGTTTTGCTGTGCCTTTCATCCACTTTGCTGCATGTTTTTCTGATTGGATGGAGCAATTTATGATATGAATTACAGAAGAAATGACCTTTGTGATACTCTGTTGTCTGTGATTTCTCTAAAGCAAGGTGTTAATAGCTTTTATTAGCCAAGGAAATGTCAACTTAGAAAAAAAACTGTTTCTGGTACAGCCTGGGAATTTAAAGAGAAATACATAATTTGAGTTTTTATGACAAACAACTTTGAGAACCAAGGCATATTTTCCCCTGCTTTGTGCCTGACATCTAAGTAAATAGAATGACAGTGCAACTCGCTGTCTGTCTGCAGCGTTACAATATGCAACTATGTGGACATGCATGCCAGTTTTGAATTCTTTAATTTTGCTTTGTGTTGTTCTATTTCATCACATGTTTGTGTTTTGTGGCTTTGCTCTTTCTTTGATGCTGCATTGCCTTTGTCTTCTGCATGCCCTCTTCATCTGATCTGGCCTCCCTCAGCCAGAGAACATAGTGCTGACCCTTCAGGTAAAGTCTGCACACTGGACTTACAGCCCAGTCCATCCCCTGCCCTGCCTCATCCTCCTCCTCCTCTGTGTGAGTCACCACGGTTGCACAATTAAAGCTAAAACGCGAATCTTGTCTGTATAAATTTATGATTTACACTACGGATCTAATTTAGTCTATTTCATCATATTCATTATTGGAACATAAGCGATGAGTTGTGCAGCCCTGTGACTTTCACTTCGCCATCCCATCCACCTCACAACCACCTTGTGATCGCCCCTTTAGCTCGGCCAAAACTGTAGCTCCCGTGTCTTTTGAAGCATGTCCTCACATAGAGTGTTCCAGCCTAATGGAGGAGCAACAATGCTGACTGGATAGCCTCAGCATAGTTAGTAGTTTGAAATGAAATTGAAAGTTTTAGACAGAGGACTGTCAGAGAATTTTACTTGCACGAGCAGCTTGTTAGTGGCTCTAATGAAACAGTGCCATTTGTTTTCGACTGGCTGCTGTGCTCCTGTTGAAGAAGAACAAGAAAAACAAACCAGCAGATTCCTGCAATTTGCCGTATCAAACCAAGCACGTAAACTCAAATTGGGACTTTTACACGACCCAAACTTTATTCTGCTCTTTGAATTTCTCTTATTATAATAAGCAGTGATGTTGTGTGAAAGGGGAGAAACGGCGTTGGGTGTTCATACTGAAGAGCTTCAAATCCGTAGCTACAATCAAAGCCATACACACACTTGATCTTCTGCAAGCTGATGCTGGCAGAAGCCTTTTTACTACGACTCATCTCAAACAGCACATCAATTTCGTTGGTTTCAAAAGAAAAAATCTGTTTGTTTTTTTTTCCCACACACACTCACAGGTCAACAAACTTTAACTATGGCTTTTCCTTGATGAATTTATGACTGTGATCAAAAGCAGTAACTTCATGTTTTTATTCCAAACTTCAATTTAAATATCAAGGAGAGATGGACCCCATCCCTGCATGATATTAACTAATGTCAATATAGTGCAAAAATGAAATATTTATCATGTCCATTGTCATTCACAGTGGAGCTGCTACCTGCAATGTGTTGTAAAACAAACCCCCAGTTTTATTTCTCAAATTGCTCTGACAGCCTCCAGTCTGCCACCAGTAAATGCAAAGCAAGTCAGTCGTGCCTTTAAAGAATCTTTCTACCAAATGTAGAGCTGATAGTATGTAATCTTAGTTTCAACTAAAGCTACAGTGGATTTAGGTCCAGCTGTGGTCAAAGACTTGCTGATGTTTCTGAGGTTGCATGATTACAGTCTTCACTTTTTCCAACCTAGAAATCAAACAGATATCACTGAGAACAGGGTTAGGATTAGGTTTCTCTCACAGTTGTAAGGATTCAAGAGGGCTATACACATACTTCAAAAGCACTTCAGTATCAAGCATTAGAATCTGAACCCCAATCAAGGATTGAAATGAAAAAGGAAAAGAATAAGAACGAATCATACCAAAAACACGACCACAGCGGCTCCTATAGTAGACCTCTGGCTTGTAGCTTACAGTTGATGAGTTTGGGGTAACAGCTTCTTGCTTGAGGACACTTGAGCATGCCTTGTGGCTGCTGCTGGCATTAAATCTGATTAACGTTTCAGAAATGCCTGTCTTCACCACTCAGGCATGCTGCCACCCCATCATCCAGTTTGTTCTTATTGGAAGGTCACCTTCTTCTTTTGGGCACTTGCCAAGACAAAGCTATAGTCCAAAAATAGTGAAGAGCCGCGGGCCCTTGAAGAGTGGTGGTGGGAAAAAAAATGAAACATTTTTGACCTTTTTTTTTTTTTATGAAGATTCACCCAATAACAACCAGAGCCCACAAGCAGAATGACAATGCAAGCATTTGGATTTGCACAATGTCCTCAACAATGGGGCTGACATTGGTGCCTTTAGTCCACACACATGCAAGAACGCTCACACAGTGTCTCTGGTTTGTTCTTTGCCTCTGAGAGCCATCTCCAAATTTTGATTTCCTTTTTTGTCTCTGTTTCCACTGACCCTGCAATCATCTATATTTTTACTCCTCGAGGTCACAAAGATTGGGATTGACATACTTCTGTATCTTGAAAATTATATTCTTGACACAGCCAGGAGCCTCACTGGTCCAAACATTAAAATGTTGATTTTTGTCAACGCCTCAGATTTACAAGTTGGTGGAGCTATTCCTCTAAAAGAAGTTCAGAAGCTACTTCCTTTTTCCGTTTCTTTTTTAACATTTTATTTTCTTTTTGCCCTGCCTTTCTAACCTCACAGTGTTAAAAAGCTAAAGCCACAGGTCCCTGGAGCAGCAGGGTCATTGACTTATGAAGGTGATTAAGATTTGTGCGAACCATCTGTGAGAGCAGTTCGTCCATTCAGGAGCAGTGAGAGCAGCGCTGCTTTGATCCTTTCATAACAAGGAGCTATTGAACATCATTGTGACAAGTTACATATGGTGTGGGATTTACCAGTCCCCTATTCGATTTCACCAATTTCCAAAGCCTGTGCTGAGTGCAGTTCAGATAGGGACAGATTAAGTGGGAGCACGGTGGGACATGACAAGAGGAGGTGGAAGAGCTACTGCGAACCTGCCAACAGCAGCGATTCAACTATCTCAACGTATCAGGAGGAATTTGTAAGACAACACAGAGTCACCTTGAAAATTTCTAATATTCAATCAAAATCAAGGATTACTGAGGCTCCATGATGGGAGAAGTACAGATTTCATAGCCGACCAGACGGAGACAAGGCGGACTCATAATTCCAGCGACATAATAAAGCAGTCAGAAGTGCTCCGCCCTCTCCTGTGTTAACTGGCTCAGTTTAATCTGACTCACCTTCAGCACAATTTACAATCCTATTCACTGTTTAACCCCAATGGCTCCCCTTAAACCTTTACAATCTATTCACTGCAGATGCTGTACATCTGCAACTTTTCAGACATGCTGTCCTTTTCATTAATCTGGCGGCATCAGAGAGTTTCAGCTTCATGTCCAAATGAGTCGTTGGACCTGGAAACATTTCTGTATCACTTTCAACAGAAAACACACAAACGCTCTGAGTTGTTTGTAGACATCTTTCCTCCTAAATACCTGCAGCAGTGAGCAGTAGCAGTATCCCCAAAGCAAGAGAGCTGCATGCATTTATGTGCATGAAACAACAAAAGTAACTTCAATCATCGCCTAAAATGATGAAATATAAAAATCATGGTCTAAAGGAGAGTAACACTGTGTACTAGTGAGCTGTCACACACACAGTTATAGTTTATAAGCTGCAGTTAGACCCTTTGTTGGATTTAGAGTTAGTCTTATGTCACTTGATGTCCTGTGGAATCATATACATATATGGCATTGTGACCTGTGAGGAACATTAACATCTTCATAACAGAATGCTGTCACTTTAACAGACTAATGAAGCCAGAAATGTGACATATGCCGTGTCTGAAGAGGGCTTTATAGGTGCATTTATCTTTGTATAGCAGAGCATTATTTCACTCCTGAGATGAAACAAATTAAACTCAGCAAAGATGCACTTTCTACTTTATCCAATCCAGATTGCAGTGATTTTCAAAAGCACAAGGGTAATTAATCACACTTGAACACTGCTAACTAGTTCTGCAATAAGTTCTTCCTTGCTAATATGGACTTCTTGAATAAAATATTACGGAGAAGAGCAGAGCAGCAACTGTACGGCCATTTTAGTGGCTGGACCTTTTGATATCTTGCACGATGTTACACCGAGAGCTAAATTCAGTTAATATTCGGTCTAACCCTCGCTGATGCACAGGGACAAATTGTTCTTCGCTTTATGGAGGTTAGATATTGGCCTGTTATATAACACTGCATTAGTTTTAGCTGGGTGTAGTAAATGACCTAGCTGCAAATTTCTCACTCTAGTAATTCTTCAATTTCAGGGATACAGCTGGAGTTGTATGATTTTCAGCACACCATTATTTACTAAAATCCCATCCTGAAATGAGTGACAGAAATCTTTCACTGCCAGGAGATAGTTTCAACTGTTTTACGGTTTCTTGAGTTCTTCGATTGATAATAAATTGGAACTGGATGAGCGATATACCTTATTTTCGTTAACTGTTAAGCTCTACTGAAACAGGTGTAATTACTTCACCCCGGGGGCTGATTTGTCTTGTTTCAAGAAAAATTTGGTTTTTATTATTCCAGTCTGAAGGGCTTCTTAGGATGGAGTTTCTCTGCAGTGCACTAACTGCCTTGTAGTCCATTCCTATTGAAGCAGGTTTTTCATCAGAAATGCAGTCTTTCCCCTTCATTAAAGAGGGAAAAACTGCACCACAGGGCTACATGGATAGCTCTGACTCCTTTCAGTATTATTCCCCATCATCCTCCCATGTGTTGCTATCCTCTCAGTGCATATTGCAGTGTGTTGGAAATTTATGCAAAAAAAAAAAAAAACAACCTTCGAGAACTGATTATAACAAAAGCCTCCACAATTTGCCACCTGCAGTTTCAGCTTGCACTATAGTGTGTGAGAACAATGATCTCAAGCTAGCGATTTTTGAGTCTTGGCATTTATTTTGTGTGATAATGTAGTCAGAGTCGATTATTGAATTGGCTTGTGGTATTTAACATTTAGAAAGAAAGGGTTCTCCTGCAGTGAGTAGTGTTACGTAATGTGTTCATTGTTTATCCACAAATCCCTCTTGGACAAAGAAAAGAGAGAATTTCCAGCAGTGGGATTCTACCAGATATTTTTAGATTTGTAGCTCATTTTATCCTTGGCCTCCTCATGTGTGTGTCCTCCCTCCTTCTCCTGTATGCCGTTATTAATCTATCCTTTCTTCTCTCCGTCACTCTTTAACTCATCTCCTCTCCCAATCCTCCCCTCATCTTCTTTCTTCCCACCACCGATTTCTGCTTTCACCTCATTTTCATGTTTACCTCCGTTATGTCTCCTAAATAAATTGTCCCTCATTTTTTTTTCCTTTCATTCCTCCCCCACCGACCCCAGGCCATCTACTACGAGATAGGCTTCCTAGTGTGTGCGGCGGTGGGCCTGCTGTTTGCCGTCCTGATGCCGATAGTCGGCCTCTTCTTCTGCATGTGCCGCTGCTGTGACAACTGCGGCGGCGAGATGCACCAGCGCCAGAGGAAGAACGCAGACTGCCGGCGAGGCCTGCTGGGAACACTACTCTTCTCCACCTCACTGGTTATCACGTGAGTGTGACGCATGCACAAACACACACACGCAAATGACACGCATAGTCAAAATATGTGGAAATGAGCTCGCAAGCCGAAGGGTGCTTTTGCATACGATGCCTTCATGCATACATACAACAGGATTATATGCACCTCTGTCTTTCAGCATGTGTACACACATTTAGCCAAAAAACACGCCGTACACACACACACACTACAGACACACTCCTCCTCTGGTCAAACACACAGTCATCAGCCTTCCCCATCCCCCCCCTTTGTGTTTGCTATATATAGTAAAGTCCTACTGTAGATGCTATGTGGCAGCACCCTTCATAGTCATGTTCATTCTAAACACGGGTCAACACAACCTGCTGGGAATTCATGCTGAAAGCTTTCCTTTCTTTTATTGTGTTCATGTCAAAGCACATCTGAAATACGAACAAGTCAAAGATAAAAACACAATATACTTAAAAATTTGATCACAATAATTCTGCATCAGTAGGTAGGATCTTCTTTTCAAACATACACTCTTCTGTGCTACAGTTTCATCCTCACCTTACTGTTTACCTTGGTTTTTTTTTATTTTAATAATACCTAGTGCATTTTCCTTCAGGGTTTATTATGCTACTGCTCCAGCTGTCATTTCTCCATTTTATATGCACATTTTAAGCATTAAGCTGATGGCGTTCCTCCAGTGGGAAAGCAGTGAGTGTCGAAGTAGAATTAATTCCTAGATTACTCATGCTTCCGACTGTAGTAACTGTAATTAATTGTTGTAATCTACGACTTTAATACATACTACCTCCAGCTATTTTTAGCTTGGGCCTGAACAAACCACACCTTCATCAGTTGCTATGAAGCTACTTCAGAGTTCTTTGACAGTGTGTGGCTCAGTTTTATAGGTGATACTCAGAAAATACAGGTTTTATGCATGTTTGTGATTCCTGCCTTACAGTTGTGGCTGCTCTTGTCTGAGCCACTTTGCACTACAGTCAATAGAAAGACACTGTATGAGGCGGCTCCCAGTGACTTAAAAAAAAAAAAAGTATGTATATTTAAGAATAAAACTGTAAAGGGGATAAAGACTGAATTTGATACTAACCTTTAGTTCGTGTTGTTTTCATTATCGTGTCAGGAAGCAACCATGATTTCAAATTCCAAAACAGAGAAGTCTCAAGAGAATTTTCCCTCCAAAAAAACAAAAATGCTTGTTGGGAAGTCTACGAATATGCTGGTAATTTCTCTAGAAACTTATAAGATTCAGGTTTGATAAACCTGTGTGTTACTTCTGAAATGGCCTGAGATATTCTGGACTACAACAGCTTAGTTGAATTATCCATCCATCCATTATCTATACACCACTTAATCCTCACTAGGGTCATGGGGGGCTGGAGTCTATCCCAGCTGATTTAGGGTGAAGGCAGGGGACACCCTGGACAGGTCGCCAGTATATCACAGGGCTACACTTAGAGACAGACAACCAAGCACACTCACATTCACACCTACGGACAATTTAGAATCACCCATTAACCTCAACATGTTTTTTGACTGTGCGGGAGGAAGCCGGAGAACCCGGAGAGAACCCACGCTGCAGAACATGCAAACTCCAGAAAGATTCCAGTGCCCCCACCGGGACGTGAACCGGCAACAGTGCTGACCAACTGTGCCACCCTGCAGCCCTTAGTTGAATTACCCTCAAATTAATAAAACATATATGTACATATGTATATTAATGAGAAAAGTTGAATGAATTCTTCCTGGATGGCCAGTTACATTGATTGTGTAAATTTTCTCCTGAGTGGCAAATTGGAAAGACGAATGAAACGATGATGATATTAAGAGATTTTGACTAAAATCGCACAAGATGGTAGAAAATGGTAGAAAAATAGAGAAGATTCATTCCTTAATAGTGGTTAAAGCTGTAATTAACTGCTGTCAACTATAAATTTTGGATGTGACCTCCGGCTATGTTCAACCTGGACTGTTTTTGATCGTAGCGATCAATCCTAACGCCTTTGGCAGTGTTTGGCTCATCTTTACAGTGGATACACCCTTTATTCATGAAAGGTTCAGCTTCAGGCTATAGTTGAAGGTATTCAAGGGAATTGACTCAACTTAGGAAAAAAACAATAATAATAATTAAAAATTTTCACCGGCACCTGCATTTTTACGCTCGGCCTTTCTTTCTATGGCCACCCAAAACACAAGTCTGTCTGCGCATTAAAACGTAGCAACAAACCATCTTCTTGTGTCTCTTACTGACGATATCAACTGCAAAATGTCCTCTCAGTATCCACCCAGCAGATTGTTTTAGAGTACACTTTGTTAATATTTAAAAGCCACCATTCTAGAAAATGAGAAACAAACAGTCGTGAAGCAACTGATGGAATTTTAGCTCAAACTGCATATGACGACGGAAAATGATGGAACAACTGAAAATGGTTGAGAGTAAAGCTATAGGTTTCCTCTGTACTTCTTCCATACGGCCCTCTTTCATCCTCTGGCTGGCCCGTGCCTCGATGAAGCTCGTCTCTAATGGACCACAGGAAACTCAATCTTCTCCGCACTCCGGTTTACAGTCTCAGCAGCAGAAGAAGCAGTAGCCGCTGGGGATGTAGCAACAGCACAAAAGGTTCGGGAGAGCTGCGTTCGCCTCTTTTGCTAGACTGAAGGCATCCAGGAGTGTATTTAGTTTGATGTTCTTTGACTTTCTGTCTTCACTGGAATGAAGCCTGGTTATAAGAAATTCCCCAGCAATATCCTAGCAGCCCAGACACAAGAGTCTGAGAGCATCCTCACAGTTCTTATTAAATCTCCCCAGCTACCAGGCAGAGATGCAGCAGAGGCTCTAATGAAGCAATTACAGGCTAGAGAGGGATGAGTAGCGAGCCCGGGCCCAGACTGCTTTTTACTGCCTCTACAAAGCTGACAGCCAGGCACAGAGGAGTGGCAGGGGTGACATTTATTTTCCAAGATGTGGTAAAATCGGATTAAGAGCAGTAAAAGAAACCCAGGTAAGGGTGACGACACTGAAATGGCCGCGGATGAGACAGAAGACAGCCGAAGCATCAAAAACAAAATTAGACAGCATATTTCTAAAGCAATCATGGCTGGTTGGTTTGCACAGCACTTTCCAGAGATCTTCTCTTACCTCAGCTGTGTGCGTGGGGATGTGATATATTTATATATATATATTTTTATTGCTATTGATCAAGTCCGAGAAGTTTAAATCCCTTTTTAAAGAAGATTTCATAAAAGATTGGGTATTCATTTATAAAAATGTAAGCAGTATAAAATAGACTCAAGGTCAGGTGAGCTACCAACTTGATGTCTTTTTCCCATAAATCTGTCGATGCTATTTGGGACACAGATTACGTTGTCAAATTTCAACCTGCCATATGGACTTATGGGCTTATCTACTCTGGCAGAAATGTCAAACAAGCCCGTGAATGCTGCCTGAAGACACTAAACTTTTTCTGAGTTTGAATGACACCACCAGTGCTACTGAAATAAAATCAGTAAATGCATATCTCAGTGACAGAGTGGGGAGGGAGGGGACATGATTGCCTCTAAAAAATACTCCTATAAATAAGAATACTGTACAAATCAAGAAATACTCCTAGAATATGTGGAATCGCTTTACTTTTTCCCTCATAATTAGTCAGATTTAATTCCATCTGTCAGGATATGTTGCAAATTTAAATTATGTCTCATAAAAATACTGCATTTCCTTGTTTTTGACCTTTTTTTTTCTAATCTCCCAAATACATCACAGCTACTGACAACAGCTGGCTCCTTTATCAAGAGATAAATCCCTTTTGACAGTGAGCTCAGTGTTCATAACAAACATATGAAGCTGCAGACCAGCGCTGATCTAGAACCAGGATAAGGGTCAGTAATTGTGTACCGGAGGGCTGGACCACGAAGCAACTTTGACACAGCCGGCTCGACAAAATCTAATTCCCCCGTCAGCGATAACGTGGATCATGAAGGTGGTTATCAACTTTTCTTAACTCAGGCTTTCTGCTTCAGTGTGAGTTCACATAAAAGGGGGCATTTAACGGGTCATGTGACTGCTTCTCTGCATAAAGTGAAACAATGGTGCCGCCCACTTGAGTCAACGGGTTGTTATAATGGAGAACAATGAGGAATATAAAAATGTAGAACAGTAACGCTGCTGCATATGATGGAAGACAGGAATGCTGGTAGAAAACTGTTAAACGTGCGTCATATATTTATTTTACAGATCAATGCTGTTGCTTATTTCTAACTGACAGCTGCACATTATAGCTGTAAAACTTTAAACTTCTTATATTTAAACATATTGTATTGAAGTTCATTTAATCAGACACTGTCCCATAATGCAGGAAACCACTTTAGTTTTTGTCCAAATTAAAGTTATTGATTGAATATTCTTTGTATTAAATACCAATAGAATAATAAATTTTCCAATCTCTGTGATAGACTGGTGACCTGTCCAGGGTGTCCTCTGCCTTCATACTGAGTCAGCTGGAATAGACTCCAGCCCCTCCACGACCCTACAGAAGACTAAGTGTTGTATAGTTAATAAATGTTTGGATTTTCTAATCTGTGTTCCATTAGCTGCAGTACCAGCAGTGTACACAGATTTGGCAGCAAATCAGGACCAAACATGAAAACATATTTATGTGATTTCTTCATCAGCAGCTGAATATGTGTCAGTTGCAGATCAACAGGTTTGCAAATAAAACATATTCCCTCAGCTGAGTGTCTGTATCGCTCAAAGAGAATTGTCAGGTTGGTTGCGAGTTGTAACGCTTAGTACAGCCAATTTAATTCTAAAACTCTGAACATAACCTGCTCCCGACCAGCTTAACTCTACAGCATCAGTTACCATGGTGATCTAGCAGGTTAAAAGAGAGCCACGCTCATGACACTGAAAACTCTGACTATAGGCTCAACATACCTGCTAACCCACTAACCTCACTGCCAGTTATGAGATTTAATCCGGTTTTGATTGTATTGTGTTTACACAGAGT